TTCCCCGCGGGCCTGGACTTCCCGGTAAACCTCTAGGTCCCTGGGGACCCGGCGGGCCCTGTAATCCGAGGGGACCGGACGGGCCTGCCGGTCCGGGTGGTCCTTGAAGTGTAGTTCCCGGATGAGCGGGAATGATACCGGTTTTATTAACCTGTGAAAGAAAACACCAGGCTTTATTTGATAGAGGAGGATATAGTAAACAGCTCAACAGTTCCTTGACACAAGTTGAAAATGAAAGATCTGTGATCTTTTGGGATGCCTTAAACAAACTGATGAATCGTTGCCCAGAGTAGATTCATCGGTTCCTTCGATTCACCATATGGCCCAAGTGATCTTGGACTGATCCTGATCCAGATCATCTCACTGGAATGCAACCTTTGCCATCAGGAAAATAACCAACACTGCAATTGAACACTCTAGGCTAACGTTATCTAGTTTGTTTTTAAATTGGAATGAAAAGAAACTTTTAATTCTACAGTAAAGGAGAAATATTGACTCCCTTGGATAACTACACTGTATTTGTTATTTGTTGTCAAAATGAGTAGGTTGCGATAAATGAAATTCGAAGCCGTATCTCTGCCTCGATGCCATTTCCCTAAGACTCTATAATTTTAGTTCCTCAGTATCAATATTGGTCTATTTACTATGCTTGAGGGAAACGTCACTTGTGTAACTACATTTAATATTCCCTTGTGAAACAGAGTCCAGAAGGAAGGACGAAGAAAGATGGTGGATTCAGATTAGCCTTGTTACTCATCTCAACAAACCATACTGTGGTCAACAGACAATCTATATATTGACGAGAATTCTTTGACAATTGAAATATCAGTAAAGAATTAATTACTGGACCTTTCTACTGAATGTGGCTATGTGGCTGTGCTTTACCCCGAAATTTAGCTTCTTTACCAAGTTCCGCCTTCCCTGTTATTCTTTCTCGATAGACCTTTCTTCATACCACACTTGTCAACATAACATCTCTATGTGAACAAAAGTCTAAACTTACGCTAAACATGAGGCTGTCAAATTTATGTTTCTGTGTGACCATGTCCAAATTCAGTTTGTTTGCCGCGGCGGTTAAACTATGTATGGTATTTTGTAGCACTGTTATGGAGGTCCTTATCAAGTCTTCGTTTGCAGTCAGTCTGTCAAGCTCTCGTTGAAGGACGTCAGCTACCCCCTGTTTGCTTACTTGTGGGGGTGGTGGTGGCGGCGGCTTGGGTGTTGCTGTTGTGTTCAGTACTGTTTGTAAAGAAATAATTGTTTGTTATTTGCTGTTTGATATGTGTAGTTACAGTACTTAACACAGACATGCAAAATAGCATGGTAATGTGTCCTTTTTACAATGTTATGTTTTCGATGATGGATGTGGGGTTACATTTGTTGTTAAGGGTATTCTTCATTGCTACTTAGATATTATCGAGGAAGGTGGTTGCGGCTGGCGATATGAAATTGCAGGATAACGAAGATATTTCTTCTATTTATGGTGGGGATATGAGATAAATCAAAAAACCCTTTATCTGTTAATTAGTATTTAAATTATTTTTTTGAAGCATTTCTTTGATAACGGATCATTTTTTGGATGTGGGGTTAAATTTGTTGTCAAGGGTGTTCTTCATTGCTACTCAGATATCGAGGAAGGTGGTTGCGGCTGGCGATGTGAAATTGCAGGATGACGAAGATATCTCTTATATTTATGGTGGGGATATGAGATAAATCAAAAAACCTTTTATCTATTAATTAGTGTTCAAATTATTTTTTTGAAACATTTCTATGATAACGATTAAAATACTTTTATAATTCTTCGTTACCACCGAATGATGGTAGCGAACGACTTAAGTTATTCAATAAGTAAGTCATGTTTGTCGATAAAATGACTGGTTTTTACCTTGAAGATGTGTCTTAGCCACCTCCGGTTTTCTGAGGAGAATCCAGATATCAAGGACCAGGGAAATCAAAGTTAAAATGATCAGAATAACAACAAGAACGCGTAGGATTAGAAGTTCATTTCGCATGTTCCAGCGCTTGATAAACGTCAGTGTTAAAGAGCATAGGATTGCGTCTCATTTCAGTTATTCAGGAACCGCTATAGTCCTAAGAAAAATAACACTATTTCGCTTAGTTCCTTCACAGAATAAGAGCATGTGGGAACTAATTACCATTTTGGCACCCCGATGAGCGGAAAAAAAGAGAACATTATTAGGCAAGACAATAAGAAGCAAAACATTACTGTATGAACACCACATAAAATAGGCAGGTTGTTTGAACTTACTTAGCAAACAAAACGCGCAGGTCAGCGGAACGAAAATAATCAAAATGATTGGTGTCACAGGTCTAGCAGGGTATAAGAAGTTCAAAGCCAGATATCTTAATGTTATAGAATAATTAGAGGATGAAAATGAGTCTTGAATGCTGCGAATGAAGAAATTTCAACACCTTTGACAATTTTCTTACCTGTCAGTTTACTTTTGGTTGCCAAGTCAAAATAAAACCTACGGCAAAAGGCTTTGCGAGAAGAAGAAATGAATGACGAAAAAAAAAAAAAAAAGAGCTGAAAATAATTGGCCACGACAAAAATGGCCGAATTCACACTAGAGACGGAAAACCGGTCTATGACGAGTTTACCGTTCTGGTGTGAAAACGGGACGGGACGGGTTTCGACGAGAAACTCGTTTACATTTGCCCGTCTACATCTCCGTCTGAGTGGGCGAGTTTTGGCTCCTACTAGACGAGAAAACTGTCAAAATCCAAACAGATACTAACCCATCAAAATGAGAGAATAATTCGACATATAATATAATTTGAGATAGTTATGACAGTTATAGACAAACTGAATTACTCTATAGTATCGCAGATTCGCTGTTGAAATATAAATTCATTTTTCCATCGACGTTGGTCGCCGTCGAGGTTGCTTAAACTCCCTTACACTCAGTCTGTTAATGATCAGCTTAGTATATTATAGAGGCAAAGAATAATTGCCATTTATTTTTAAGACGAGATGTTCGAATTGAACAAACAGCGGGAAAACGTTCCTTAATTTAATTGAAATATTTGCTGTCTTCCAATTAGTGGGACTGATTGCATTTCGTTCCTACGTACCCACCCCCCACCCCCGAGATATGTTGGAACTATTGAAACTTTGAAGATTTTATTATAGAATCAATTAAGATGGACATCAATTCTGAGCTGGGATGGGGGTAGAAACCAGGTTTTGCAGATAAGAACAATAGCCGTGATATTGTGCTATCGGTTTTGTAATGAGTCCTCGTGATTCACTGCATGTCTTTTTTTCTACTCTCATACCGTTTTACTTTGCAGTTCCAGGCTTGAATTTGCACTCTCATGCTTAGACTGACAATGCTACTAACCTTATTGGCTTAGAATCCTCTATGTGTAATTCTTGAGAACTAAACTGAATTGTACAATTCATCCTGAAGAATTTATGTAAGGAATGTGATGATAATTTAGCTATCAAGGGAAATGCGTTCAAGCAGGATCCATTCCGGCTTCTTTCTGAGTAATGTTAAATTCTGTTGCGGGGCAACGTGATCAAACAAATGGGCATGCTCACGTATGACTCGGGAACTAAACTTACAAGTATGTAGCATTTCACTGAAAAGGTCTGTAACTCTTCAGTTCAAACAACTCACACTACATCAATTGACAGATGGCTGTTATTCAACGAAAGACCCTTCGCGAGAGGTTGTTTACGATAGAAATTAAGGCAATGGCTGAATGAAAGGTTTATGGTTTATTGTAGTGACTTGTTTAGTGGCCCTTGAACAGAGCATAAGTATACATGTACTTGTCACGGATCAAGAAATTTGAAGATTTCAGCCAAATTACTTTCATTTTCGTGTTTCGCAATCCATCTTAGTATTGGCGATTCTTAGCAATCCTTGTTTGTTTATTTTTTTGTCTTACTTATTGTCTACTCCGTTGCTTGTCTACGTCTATAAGCTATGATTTTAAAGTTTCCTTTGATAAAAAGGCAATTTTGTATACGTAAACACGGAACGGAAAAAAATAGTGTATCGTGACCTTGACAAAGAAATTATTTTGCCCCTCTGGCAATGTTTGTGGGACGAACGCGTCAAACATAACCAAGCAAAACGCACGATCGTTGTAATGCTAGAAAACCCTAATTTCAACTGGAGTCTTGTATCTCCATCTAGCAATATATCACTTATGAAAGAGCTGAAAGTAGGTCTCTTTCGAACTATTTAAACGGAACAATTTCCTTCGGGAAATTAAACTGGTCAAACGGCATAGTTTCGTTGAGAATTTGAAGTGGAGTCAAAATGTTGGCATCTGGAAGAGTACATCCTGCAAGTTATGAAAAACACGCTCCCACGGCCGAACCGGCTGAAAGAAGAAATGCTTGTGAAGTCGGCGAAGAAAACGATGATGCCGTGTAGACAGATAAGGCAGGAAAAGTTGAAGTCATTGGCAAAAGGCGCGATATTTTGTCCAGAAGTTTCTTGTTGGTTTTTATGACCTTCCTTTGTTTTATGTCACTAACAACATTTGTTTTAACTGCCCTAATGATTTCTGGAATAATTGGGAACAGGTATAACTGTTCAGACGCAGTCGGTGGGAATCAACAGAGACAAGGTAACGTATCAAGTTGCTTGAAGGATAACCATTGTTATTGTTTTATTTCGATAGTCTAACAAACATTTACATAGTCTAGTTGATAATCACAGTAAACATGCAGGAATACGCAGCTCCGTACCTTTTCTACCGTTATGTAACGAAAGTTACCTTTCAAAAAATCTAGTCTTTTATTCCAAAAAGGTTTCCAATAAAGCGGGAAACGGTCGGTTTTGAGAGGAACTGTGTAAGTGATTGAAAACGCGATTAATGTAACCCTGCCAAGTGTATTCATAAGCTGAGAAGGCAAATATCTGATATCGATTTATTATAAAAGCCAACAAATGGGAGATCATATTGTGAAAATTGGTGTTGAACTTTTAATTCACTCCCTTTCCATTGATGAATATAAAGAAGAAATTACGTTAGAAAATATTGAACAAGCAGGAAAAAATTTTGACAGACACTTATCGAACTCAGTCATGCTTCGGCCATGGTACGAAGAACATCATCTTTATCTTCGTTGTCTGTAATCAATTCAGTTCAACTGGTTTGTGAGTAAGATCAGAGGCACAATGCCTTCATGTTACCGGAAGATATGGCAATAAAAACGTGGGATAAAGAGTATAGTTGCAGCTTAGCTAGGGTAAGAGAAGACAAACGTGCAGTTGAAAAAATTATAATTGCATACGCGTCCTTCGCGGCCATTTTTTTCTCACGGTTTTCTTTTGTGTCGCGCACCACAGACGTCTAAGTGAAATAGGGACTAATCATAGTCTGTGTTATTTAGGTAAAAGAAAGCGTCACTTCTTGACAATCATAACATTGGCTCTGCACAGCATGAACTTTCGCTTCGTTTTATCAATGCCCCGTGCGCAAAATTTGTTTTGCGCTTTATTTAAAGGAGCTCGGTCACGGTTTGCGCATATTGAAAAGTTTAGCCTCAATTTTTCAAATTCGTGATTTGTAATCCGTGTCAGTCTTCTCCATCCTTAGCCATCCTTGTTCCTTTATGGTTTATCATTATCTCTTTGGTGTTTTTTATCTTCGTTAAACTGTTATTTTCAGATTTCCTACCATTTAAAGGTAATTTTGTATGTGGCAAAAATAACTCACAATACCGTTACTGAACCCCTTTAAAGTTGGTCCGTCATTCAAACTCTCATTAACAAGCCCTTGCGAGCAGCCGGAGTTACCACGGAGGGTTTAGATGAGTTTACTGTTTACACAATCGAATGTCCAAATGGTTCCGCCTTGGTTTTTCCATGAGCAGTACATAACGATGAACGTTTAAATAGTAAATGGTTTGAACCCAGGAGTTTCAGTAGTTCGTCTTGTGTGATTGTCCGGGTGAGGGTAGTTCTTAAAAGAGCTGTTGTTGTTGAGGGGCATCAACAGCAGTTCTTTTAAGAACTACCCTCACCCGGACGATCACACAAGACGAACTACTAACGGCGTGTAAATTGAAAAAATCTGTGATCTCCGCGTCGTTAGCATTCATCACTACCACTCGCGTACATCTCTTGTCTTGATACTTTGCTGATTTAGCTCATTTGTTATTTTGAATTTGTAGTGTCAGAATCACCAGCTTCTCAAGCACAATCTTCCACCCCTCAAATTAATGGCAATGGTGGGACAATTAATGGGTTACCTCAGGAGAATATGACAAAACTTCAAGAGGCTGTGGTGAGTACAACGAACACTATCAATGAAGCAAGGATTTGGGAGTGTTTGTTTGGGCACAATAGCATGGTTTTCATTCTTCCAATAAATTAGCTTAAAGAACTGCGTTGGTTGTCACATTTTTTCATGAATACCAAGTAATTGTGTCAAACTTTTAACTTGGACTAGTTTCCACGACCTGCTTATTAGGTGGATCTTCCTTGTAAAGGATTTCTGAGTCGCCTTTTCAAGTTATAGTGGCAATTTAAGACACTCCAACCATGAACATTTGGCATCTTCTTGTGCATGTTTCTGCCGTCACTAAAAAAACAACTCAAAACAAAACAAGAAAAAAGACAGAATGTCAAGTGTTCATGGTTCGACTCTCCTCCCTGTAAAACTTATTTTGAATTCAATTAATGTTGTCTCTAACTTTGGACTCTTACTATACTACGTAGGAGGTCAAAGCAACTGAACTTGAAAACGTCTGGGAAGCGCTTAGAATCCTTGAGAGTATTTGTCGTAACCTAACGATAAAGGTAAGACTAATCATTTTCTTGGTAAAATAAACTGAGAATAATAATCAGGCTTTCTCAACCTGGAAAAGGACGCAACTGGCAATACGGTGACAGTAAGAGCAGAACATCGAGTCCCGACCAAGTGCTAGCCAGGAAATCTAGCTTTGCTTTGCTTTTAGTTGTGCTAATGGGTGAGAGGCTAGAGTACTCTCACAGTGAAAACACCAGAGGGCAAGAGACAACGGGGAAGGCCACGAATATCTTGGAGAAGGTCAGCGGAAAAAGGAACTTAAGTCCATGCACCTGATTCACCTGCCCGGGGGAGGGGGGTATGGATACTCCCAGAAAAGCTGGGTGGGGGTGTGCGGTCCACTTCCCAAAACCCTTACCCTATTTATGACCAAACTCTTCGATTTTTGCTACGCTATTTATCACCTGGCCAAAAATTCGATACCCTATTGATGATCGTTACGTTGTGGCTGGCACAGTTACCCTAAACATAAGTTATGAAGGGCTTTTGTTGACGGTCTTATTTATAATGATGAAAAAGTAGCTTTTACGAAGAAACATACCCAATTCGACACTACAGTGCTATAACCATACCCTATTTAAGACCAAAATGGCCAAAATCGATACCCTATTTAGGACGAAAACGGCTGAAAAACCCTACCCTTTGGGGCCGCACATACCTATATGGCCCATATAAGGGACTACACCCCCCATCACCCGGGCTCACCTGGAATGAAATCTGAAACGTGCACAAGACTGCTCCGCCGGAGAGAGACTGTGAAGGCCTTTTTCGTCCCATGGCGCGATAAGAACTGACAAGGATGATTCTAGTAATAAATTGGAAAGGGTAGCATAAAGCGAATTATTACATGGTAACAGTTTGCACCCCTAGCGCCTCACAATATACTTTTCCCCCTACTATGATTGAGTCGTGACTTTCTAGGACTAAACGTTACACATTAGAAAGTTGATATTTTGTTCCTGCTCTCTAAATGTGATATTTGCGTCTCTCGTTTTAACATGAACGCTAGTCAGGTTCATGTAAAAACAGGCTTATGCTAAATGACTTATAATGCACAAGATAATCTTCAGTCCGGTGGCACAGAAAAACATTTGATACTAACAATAGCCAATCTTTGTTTTTCTTTCAATAACAGGTAAAGAACGTGAGTGAAGTTCAGGAACAAATTGGCAACAATTGTTCTCAAGGATATGTGGAAGAACAAGACCAACCTACATTTAATGGTTCACACAGAGCTACTACTCCTACCGATTCTACTGGCCTACCAGTTGTACCAGGCTACAATGGAACTCAAGGACCTCCAGGTCCAATTGGTCTGTCAGGTGTACCAGGCCATAACGGAACTCAGGGGCCTCCCGGTCCGATTCGCCCGCCGGGTATAGCAGGTTACAATGGAACTCAGGGCCCTCCCGGCTCAATTGGCCCGCCTGGGTTACCAGGCTATAATGGAACCCAGGGGCCTCCCGGTCCCTTTGGCCCGTCTGGTTTACCAGGTTTCAATGGAACTCAGGGGCTTCCCGGTCCAATTGGCCCGCCGGGTATACCTGGCTACAATGGAACTCAGGGTCCTCCCGGCTCAATTGGCCCGCCTGGTTTACCAGGCTATAATGGAACCCAGGGGCCTCCCGGTCCCTTTGGCCCGTCTGGTTTACCAGGTTTCAATGGAACTCAGGGTCCTCCCGGTCCAATTGGCCCTCCGGGTATCCCAGGCTTTAATGGAACTCAAGGACCTCCAGGTGCAAGTGGCTCACCGGGTATACCAGGCAATAATGGAACTCAAGGACCTCCGGGTGCAATTGGCCCGCCGGGTATACCAGGTTACAATGGAACTGAGGGAGCTCCCGGTATAAGTGGCTCCCCAGGTATACCAGGCTATAATGGAACTCAAGGACCTCCCGGTGCAAGTGGTCCGCCAGGTGTACCGGGCTACAATGGAACTAAGGGACCTCCCGGTCCAAGTGGTCCGCCAGGCGTACCGGGCTCCAATGGGACTCAGGGGCCTCCTGGTGTAAGTGGCCCGCCAGGTATACCAGGCTACAATGGAACTCAGGGAGCTCCCGGTCCAATTGGCCCGCCAGGTCCAAGTGGTCAAGGATCAGGAAACTTCAGCCAGTGTACCTACAAGCAAGTAACAACAGTTGCAGCTGTAGCCTCTGGTGGTGCCAGTGTTACCGTGGACGTCGAGGAAGAAAACGTACGTTAAAATAATTATTGATAATAAAATACTTTTCTTCAGATCGAGAAGAACATCCAGATATTACAGAGTAAAATACACTGCTTTAACATTTTAAGCCTGCATTCAATGCAGGCCTAAAATGTTAATGCCGTGCATTTTGAATGCTAAGAAAAAGCCAATCTTTCTAACATTATAAGTCGATTATCACACTCTTTTATTCATCTAAAACTGCTGTCGGATTAATAGAAAGAGCCCTCCCTTCTATTATTGTAAATAACATTTACTACTTTTGTTCTTATAGGATAAAAGGATTATTGCAGCGACATGCTCAACAGATGATGCTCAACAGTATCTGCTCTCTAGTTTCACTGCTGCCGGAGATGTTCGCGTTTACCGGTGTGAGTGCAGAGGAGCTGTATCAGCTTCAGTTACGTCATTCGCTTGCATAATCCACTACTGGGAGTGTCCACTTGTTACGTGAAATCGAGTGTTACAACTGTAGACTGAATCTCATAATTACAATTAATTTATCAACGACATAACGTGTGTATGGCTACCCACTTTCTTTTCCCAGACAACTGACATGATGGGTTCTAGTCACAGCTCGCAGGCTGTGTACAAAAATTCAAAGAGAACCCGGTGTGTTTTCTGTTCTGACGTACTATTTCAACTACTTTATCATGTAAAATTAGTGATGCGTGTGTGAGTGTGGTGCCGATAATAGCTCAAGGGCGCATGATTTGTGTGCTAAGTGTCCAGGCTAGACATCCTTTAACAAACCAAGTGTACGTGTCGGAGAGGTTCGGTAGAGCGGTTGCGATCCGTAGGTGGGAGCGTCAACCCGTCTACTCTGCTGCTATCTGGATAACTGGCATACCCAACAAGTCAGCGCCCTGTCAGTTGGGATTCTTAACCAACCATATTTATCTGAAATGGCTCCAGCTTCAATTTTACTGGTTTACTTTGAGTTAAGACAACGACCATTATATTCATGCATTCAAGCTTTTTTGAACGTTTTACATCAATCATTTTCTTTGTTCATCCGCGCTGTAACTCTAGGAAATAGCAAAAATAATGTACCGTGTAAATAAAATAATGTAAATTATAGTTAGATCACAGCTCTATTCATGATCAGTAACTGTCAAAAATAATCTTTGTCTTCTAATGGCGATACGTCCAAAGTTAAATTAAGACAAAGCGAGCGAGTGCGCTGCACAGGTATCGCAGAGGTCATGATTTCGAATTTCGTTCAAACCTGAATATGTTTTTTCAGGCTGTAATTTTACAACTGCTTAAGTTGTGCGCATATAAATATATATGATCAGTCTTGTTTAGTTCCAAGCAGTAACTAAACCGTTAATTACCCCCAAAAGATAATCCAAAAGTGCAAATAGCTGTCACCTTTAGGATTCATATAAATTAAAAACCAATTTACTATTTTCTTTGTTTTCCGTTTTCGTTGAAAAATGTCCTACCGCCTCCACCTTGGTTTCCAGCATCGTAATAAGAACAGACAGGTAAACTGTGACCCTTAGATGGATTTAATCCTTCAAACATAGCCGCCAGTTTGTTTTGGATGGCCGTTCGCAAATACAAACATTTATTTCATGGTGGGAGCAAGTGCTAATCTCAACAGCTTACTCTTGCTGAAGCATTTAAAAGAATTTTGTCTCTATTTGTCCAATCAGAAACACTAAACAGAAATAGCATAATCACGACCAAAATTTAAGTGGCACATCCTATTGTCGCCATTTCTCGGGGACGATTTGCGTCGCTAAGATGACCAATCCCTCTTACTTTTAAGATTGTCGGATGCCTCAAGAGCCGTCCTTGTTTGTTTTATATATTTATCTACCCATTAAAGTCGCTGAACACGTAACGTTGTTGTTTTAACGGGCAGAAAACTTATTAAAAATGGAAATCACTCCAGCGTGTCGACACGCAAGTTAACCTACCAAATAATACGAAGCTGTTTTGGATTAGGCGTCTGTTACAGAAACGTACTGTAACAAAAAGAAACTAAGCAAGGAATTTCTGAATGGCCTCCGTGAAAGCGCGTAGGGAAGCTGCCGGCCCCATTCTCGTCGTAAACCCTGTCTTTCAAAATTGGTGTCAAGATGACGCCAAAAAGAACCAAAGGGCGCTTGTTGCATCTCGATTTGAAAACTTGGGGGGAGTCCGCCATTTGGATTACCGGAGTTTATCTGACGAGCAGCCAAACACAAGCAGTGCGAACAGAAAGCCCGCAGGCATGTTCAGCACAAACCGTGTGGTGGTGTTTTTGTTGATTGTCGTGTGCCTCGTGTCGATACCAGCTCTGGTGTTGACAGTCATGATGCTGTTTGGCAAAATAGGCGATCGATGCGGTTGCTCAAATACACAAGGTATGATACAGTTTTAGAACATTTACAGCTGCATATGTTGTAACCATGTAATTGTTTTTGCATGCATTTTGTTATGAAATCCGTCTCAATATTTTACATGTAATAAAACCATTCTCGTTTTCTTGCTTAAACACCGATTTTTGAAAAGTTCGAGCATAAGACAGTATTGATTGACTTTGTTCCTGTGACAACGCAAAGGTGAATATAAATAGGATGTTCTATAAGTTGAAAAAAGCACATTTAACACACAGCAATGACTTGTTTGAGATTTAATGAACAAATGGGGAGCGGGGTGTTGATTTAATGTGGGGAGTTCAAAACTGGAACGAGCTCAACTAGGGGTGGCGAATGGTCCTTCAAAAACCATGGGTCTCGCAAAATTTTCGCCGAATTTCACGGTCTCGCAATCTCGTTTTTTAGCGGTTATGTGCGTCTCGCAGTCTCGATTTTTTTCAAGGCTAAGAAAGTCGCTAAGTACCGATTTGTTTATTTTCTTTTTAGTAAAGTTAAATGACATCACAACATCTTAGTTCGCATTCAAAACACTTAAAAGTCTTGGTCTCGCAATCAGAAGAAATCAAAATGTCTCAGGCTTGCAAAGAAAAACGCTAATCTCGTCGTCTCGCAAAGTCTCGCATTTACCATTCGCCACCCCTAATATGGTGACTGCGAGCGATCCAGGTTGAATTCAGCCGTTTTTTTAACTCGTGAATAAGACTGAAAAGACCGTTCTGGAAATAAAATTATTTGCTGTAAGGATTCAAATTAATAAGAATTTGGTTATAAGCGTAATCCTTAAAATAACAAAAATCTTTATTGCCAGTTATGCATTTAGAGGCACGCAATTTAACTCTTTCGGGTAAACAGTGAACACAACGTGATTAGTTATGGGAGTCCCACCATATTTTTGAAGCCTCTTTCATGCTTTCAAACAGTTTATACTACTTAGTTCAGGTCATGGACTATTAACGCAAAATGTTACAAACAGAATCCTAGATTCTATCAAAGACGAATTGCACTGTTAAGTGAAGACTTAGTCTTCCCAATTAACTCCAGTAGAACAAATTGAATCTTTTGAAGTTTTCCGCCCTATTTTTTGACCTTAAAACCCTTATTCTAAATGCTAGTTTGCCCTCGCG